CACTTTCATGCCTTCCTGACCTGAAGCGAAGCAGGTTTTCTTCAGAATGGTAACAACTGATTCATTTAAACAAAAAGGGCCCAATTCCATAATTCTACAGCCAAACTTCTGTAGCCCAAATCTGACTTGTATTTTTACACTTGAATGTCAGGTGAGACACTAAGCCTCTGAATGAGCAGTTAGTGAGTTTGCATTCTGTCTTGACTTCTCCCCATTTCTCATACACAGGCACTGTGTATTTCATATATCCTGTCCCTCAGACCGTGCTGCTGTTCTTTCTCTTTTTTCCCTCCACTGCTATCCCCTTGGAAATCTCAAATTCCAGGTTGAAGGAGACTGGGAGCCAACTTCTTCTCTCAGGGTTAAATCTGGGAATCATTGCCCTAGCTTCAAATTTATGCTGGTGCAGTGAAGATGAGAATTTAGCTTTCTGTACTGTTGTCAACAGGAGGAAAATAGAGTCCCTATAAGGCTGTATCCATGGAAACCACCCTGCTGCAATAGCGGGTAAAGCAGCAAATCAATTTCTTCAGTTTTAAAATGAAGCACATTACAGTGCATCTGGCATTTAAGAGATTATCGTGCTGATAACTGTGTGGAAAAACCCTCCTCTGGCAGGAACATTTCTTCCTCCTGATAGAATTCTGATTTTGGGTAGAATGAGCACTGATGACAAAGTACCATGCAGACAGTGCAGTGAGACAGAGCCAAGTCCAGAAGCAACAGCATTTAATGAAGGAGAAAATTGTTTAATTTAGCATTAAGCCCAAGTATCTGGGCACATGGTGACTAACGTTCAAATGTATTAGTAGAGGTGGTGACCTGTCACCTCTGTCTCCCTGCTCTTTGCCTCTGTGGTACCACGTGTGACAAACAGAGCGTTGGTACCTTGTGATGCATGTCTGAACAGCAGTGAGTGTGTGTGTGTGGCTGTCAGATGAGATTTCAATATCCACTGCTACATGGTCTGGGTAACTGACTTTATACAGGTGTGTATTTCGGAGCCAGAGGCATTTCCAGTGCAGAAAATGTGCTGGCTGTCTCTGTGCTGTATTCTTGTTTCATTTCATCATGTGCAACTTGAGACCATCCCTTTACTATGCCATGGAGGGAGCATGGAAACAGGAGGATTTCTTACACCAGACTTCAAAAGCCACCATATACTTTTCCTGCAGTGTGCACAGAGGCTCTGCCTTTATTTTTCACCTGGTATCTCTCTGACCATTTTGAGAAATAATACCCTACTTGAGCAGAAAACTGCCTATGCACCGATGAGACTTCGTTCTGCTTTTCCTTTTTATCAAATCCAAATATTGCAGTCTGCCTTCTCTATGTTTATCAGATAGAGAAATTATCTGTCTGGGAGAAATACAACTTTATTTAAGAGAGAGGGAGTGAAGTTGAACCAGGAAAGATTAAAAAGCAGTGCAGGAATTGCCTAGACCATGAGTAGCCCTTCAGCTGGTGAGGATCAAATACACATTCCTCTGTCACTTTTCAGTGCCTAGGCTGTATTTTATCTGCTTCTGAATCTCACTTCCTTGGTACCAGCAGTCACATATGCAATACTGTCTTCTTTTATCTACAGCTGCCCTATTATAGTATTATATAGCTATCCTAGTATTATAGCAATCACTGTTTGATTGACAGTTATGTATTTTTTTTCTGACCTGAGGGCAAGCTTATTGCAATGCATTCCTTTCAGGGCTGTCAATGACACACATCCAAAATCTTCAACTGGTTCATAATGTGGCAGTTCAGCATTTGAATGAAGTGAGCACATATTGTTGGGGGCACAAGAGGTTTTGTTGCTCTGTCACATCTACCAGCTAATGGAAGATGCAGTTCAAACCCCTTAAGTGGTAGAAATGGCTCAGTGGTCTGAAATGCTTCTGTTTGCAGGGAGTGTTTTGTTCTACATGTGTCCAATTGCTATGACATCCAGTGTTGTCTGCTTGGTGAGTTAAGAGGTTTTAAGAGTCAGGAAAAGGCCTCCCAATGCACTGCTTGAGTTCTGTGCTTCCTTTCTGAAGATGAAGTTTCCTGATGAAAAACATGTAGCTGAAAATCACAAACTTTGCAACTTGTTTTCTGTGATCCAGATCTAGGAATCCTCTCTGTATTCAGACTTGGACAGCATTCACTTCCTAGGTCCTAACCTTTAGATACCGAAAAATTAAAATTATACTTTTCATTGCATTTTTTTTATCCATAATTCCCACTTTCTACATAAGCCTTCCATATTGCCCTGTGAGGATGCCTGGGGTTCCTGGTGAGTTCAGACACAAGGCATTATCAGATTTCTCTCTAAAAGGCATGGGAAGGGAGAAATGGAAGAGGAGCTGTGACTGGTGTTTCTTGTACCATTCTTCATCACAGTCCTGTGTCTGCTCATCAAGGCAGCAAAGCCCAAGAGGCCAGGCATGGCCCAGGGGAACCCTGCATACCTTTTGGAGCAGAGAGGATGGGCTTGTCTGTGGGTCCTGGGATATGCTGAGATGAGCTGACAAAACCTGGAGATTTTAAAAGCATTTGATAACAGTTTTCCTCTGCCCTGGGACTAAGTTAGAAAGGTGACCTTCTTCCCACCTCCTTCAGGTCAGACCTGGGTGTCCATGGCAGGATCAGGGGCTGCACTTGTTGTGAGGAAAAAGCAGGAGCCACCTCTGGGTCTGTCACTTGTCTCCCAGCTCCCAGGTGTGGCATTTTAGAGCATCCTTTGTGTCTAAGCTCTCACAGTTTGCACAGTCATGTCCAGCGTGGGAGTGTTTCTCAGTGCTGTCTGTCTCCATGGATTCAGAGGTGACACCATGTTTATACACTGCCTCTCTTGCATTACCACCCCCATGACTGAGGCAAAGCTCCTGAGTCATTGTCACAAAGATTTAAAATTTCAGGCAAGCCTGTAGGCCATCTGTTTGTGTGGGCAGGCAGGAAAATATCGGGTAGGAAAACTCAGTCACACACCATTGTTTGTATCTGTCCCCACAGCCAATTCTTTTAAATGACATTTTAACTATTGTCTAAATTATTTTTCTGTAGAAAATTGTAACAAACACCATCCTTGCTGTTAAATGATTAATTAAAATGAGCCCAGTCCTCAAAGTCACTTTATTAATAGGTAAATCCTATCTCTATTCTAAAATTTAATTCATTTTACTGTTCAAGAAGCCTTTATCAAAAATCAGCAGTTCCCTCTTGGGAAAAAAGCTTGAATTGTGTTTTCTCTGGCACTCAGGTGAAAGTGTGACCTGGTCACATTCCTGCCATGGCAGGTATTATCAGTGCTGGCACACAGCAGCTGCCACTTGATACAATGCAGAGAATGTGCCCCAAGTCCAGTAATGTCTGCTTGTGTTGCATCTTTTTCAGTGTAAAGATACAGTCTGTTACCACTCCTGACAGTCACACAGCTCCCTTCTCTGTTTCTATCATTCCACTCCTCAAAATTAGACTCTCTTTGCATTCCTAACCTGCAAAGGCAGGGATATTCCTAGCACTACCCTGTGGATTAGTATTCACAGCAAAATAAAAATATCAGGCATACACTGATCTGTTCTTCTGACCTCAAGAAGCTGTGCCTAGTCCTAGTTCCATACATACACTAACTGTAAGCACAAACCTTGCCTCTTCTGTACTCAGTTCATAATTTCAGAAATATCTAAAAGAGATTAATAGTTTTAAGGACTATGGTGTGTCCTTGGATGGCAAGTACTGCTAAAAATTCTGGTGACACAAGAAGGTGAGTTGCTAATCAGCAGAACCACCAGAAATGCAGCATTGTGTACAACAAATATGGAAAAAAACCCAAGATCACTTCTTTCAGTTGAGAAAGACCTAATTTACTGATGAACAGATTATAACTAAACACTGTGTTTGTTAAGGGTGAGGAAGACTGACAGTCCCTGGCCTTTAACTTCATGCAGAGCCCTGAAAAATGTCCCTCTCTGCAAGGGGAGACCTGTTAGTGGGCAAGGTCATTTTCACAATGACGTAAATTGAAAAGTGGATGGCTGAATCTACCCAAACTTGAAAATGTCAGGGTGTTCTTGCCTCCTGCAGAGAGAAGCACTGTCCTTTTTAGTTCGTGCTGCTTGGGAAGCCTTTAGGGATGAGCAGAAAGCAGCCACACTGCTGTGAGCAGCAAGAGCCAGAGAAATGTTGTGTTCGCTGTGTCCCTCTGTTCAATAGGGAGCTGTTCCTTAATTCTCTGTCCTGGCCCTTGCTGCAGCCTCCTCTTTGTCTTCCACCACCTCCAAAGGGGCTTTCTCAGAGGTCAAGGCTGGGCAGAGTCCAGCCAATCTGTCAGGTTTGGCAGGGCACATGACAGAGAATTTACCCAAGTTTCATACTCCTACAACAAATTCCTGTCAGCAGCTGGAGGATTTCTCAGCTGGCACAGAGTGAGAACTCTCTGTACAGACACAGGCACAGAGCAGTGCCCTGGCCTAAAGCCTCGTGTGACAGGCAAACCGAACAAGCACAATCACTGTGTGCTCCATCAGCTGCTTCTGCTTTGCAGCAAAGGTGTTTCTTACCCTGTGTTACAGGGCAGATTCTGGCTCTCCCTGTGCTATGTGAGTGTGGCTGAAGGATTTTCAATTGCTTGAGGTGCAGCACAGACCCTGTAACCCCTCTCTTGAGAAGCCTGTCAAGCCTTGCGTGGAGGCTGCCCTGGTTTCAGCTCTTGCTCTGCCATGGCACAGTTTGGCCAGAGACCAACTCTTCAGGTTTGGATGAAGGAGGAGCATCCTTTTGGTGCACTTAGGAGCACCAGCACAGCACTGTGGCCTTTCCCTTGTGCTTTAGAGCACACCATATGTGTGCACCTGCAGGACAGGGCACGTCTGCACTGTGGTTTCACACTGAGCTCCCTGGCTTTCTCATGCATAAATGACAGACCCTGAATCCCTCAGCCTCCACTGTTAAGTGTCCCTCTGTGAAAAGGGAACAGATTGAACTGTTTCACATTGAATTTCACCCTTCCCCTAAGCACTCACCTTCTCCATGCAGGTGTGTCACTGGTGGTCCCTGGCTGGCACCGCTGTATCCCGCACCACTGCCTCTAGGAGAGGGCTCAGAGCAGTCCCTGCAGCCAGGCCATGGCAGGGGCTCTCTGCACACTGCCAGGACCCTGGGCTGCACTGCTTGGCCTCCTCAGGCTGCAGAGACTCAGACAGACAGACAGCCGTGCTCTGTGAGCCCTGGGAGAAGGCACCACCTAGGTCTGGGCAGACGGAGTTAAAGAGAGGTAAAAATGTTGGTCTACTAAGAGATGTCTCAGGGCCAGAGTCACTTGGACTGAGACCAAAGTCCTTTAAATATGAGAGGGCTTGATTATTCAGCTGGGCATATTCAAAATTTATCTTGCTTTGAGTAACCTCATCTAGGATTTTTGCTCTACTTTTCTGATCTTCAGAGCAAATTTGCTCCCCATTTTTCTTCAAATGATACAGACTGCTAGATTGGAAACTTGTCTCGTATTGGTTTGTACTAGGAATACTGGGAAATTCTGGAATTTGAGCAATGCAGCTGCATTCATTCTGTAACAATAACTTGCTTTTGTACTGAGACATCTTATGAATGATACTGTTCATTTCATTCCCGATGTATTTGTCTTCCAGGTGCTTGTTTTCATAGCTGATTTTTAATGATGCCACCTGTGTTACACAGTGCTCTAAGAGCTGCACTATGTTAGTGCTGCTGTCTGTTGGTGTGGGGCTCATGTAGCTCTGGAAGTGATTGAGGGTCAGAGGCTGCAGTGGTTTGTCACAGGAAATTGAGAGAGAGTGATAGATTGGTTTAGTTCTGTCCTCCCCCTCGAGGGGATCTCGGAGTGAAGTCGCAGCAGTCTTGTAGGAGTAACATGATTCTACTTCGTGATTATCATCTAAGGAAGGATTTTCAGAGCTCTGGGGGCCAGTCTCTCTGTTCAGTTCTTCTGGCAGTGGGTTTTTACCTCTGGATGTCTCACATCCCAGTGAAATTGCTCCCTTCTCATTGTCAGCTGAAGACGTCTGCAGGTTGTCTCTGTTAGCCTGCAATTGTGGTGCATGACTTGTGTTTTCCACAGTCCCAGGCACTGTAGGTAAGTCCTTGTGGTGACTCCCTTCTGTTCCTTGGAAATCCAGATCAGATGTGTTCAGGGAGGAGCCCAGGCTGTGCTCTCTTCCAGCAATGTTTACTGAAGAGGCCTGGGCTGTGTGTTTGCTTTCCTCCAAAGGCACACATATGTTAAATGTATTAGATTCACCCTTGCCTGGTGTCTCCTGCTGAACTTCTGTGCTCCCTTTCTGCTGACTGTGACTGGGGATCAATGAATCATTAGACTTTTCTCGCTGTGACTGAGGACTCTGAAGAGAGTCAGGGGAGGAGATGAGTCCCGAGTGTTTTCGTAGCCAGTTTATTATGCCCATGGTCAGTGAAAGCTCAGTATCACAGAGCTTTAGCAAACATTCTTTGCCTTTCCATGTGCTGTGGAAAAATCCCTGGCTAATGATGTCTAGAGTTGGTTGGGAAGCCATGTTCTCCTCAGCTCCAACATGAAAGCTGTAAATGGACAAAGGGATTTCAATGGCTTGCTCTGAAACACTTTCAGAGGCACACAAGTCATCATCAAGGACAGGGTTTACTTTGACTTCATTTGGGTCATAGAAGAGCTCATAAAGGGCATCTCCACTGTAGCTGTCTCTTGGAAATCTCCCTGGGACACCAGGGGTCTGAGCTTCCTTCAGTTCATCATCTTGTCCAGGAGAGAAAGAATCATAGTAGCCTTCATCACTTGTGGATGTGGATTCCTGGTTTTCACTTTTCGGTGTTTCTGTTTCTGTGGAGCTGTCTTTGGAATTGTCACCTTCTTTATCAGGGGACACTTGGGTGTCTGTCACCAGTACAGCAGCCTGACTTGTATCCTTTTCTGTGTCAGAACCAGACATCTTCAGTAACTTCTTTTCAAACAGAGCACTCTGGTGCAGCCTCACTGATTTGTTGATGTTGTCCCAAAACTTTGCAAATTCCACTGTCTCGTTCTGGCCAGGAGAAGCCAGCTGCTCCACCCCGCCTTGGAAGGAGCCCATGCCAGGGCTGTCTTTGTGCTTGCTTCTCCTCAGGAGAAGGTCTTTGCTGTTCTCCAGCTCCAGGTGAGCAGAGCTCTCATCAGCAAAGATTTCCCCACAGCCAGTGAGGGAGTCAAAGCTCTTCAGGGAGGCGACATCTTCACACAGGGCATTGCAGTAGTCGTAGGAGGAGTCAGACTGCAGTTCACTGTCTGAGCAGTCCTGTGACAAGCAATCAGCTGCACAAGTTTCCCCAGTTTTGAAAAGATACTTTGCAAGACGTGCAGACAGCTCACTCTTGCAGCCTGGAGAGGACAGGTTCCTGTCCTTCTCCACCAGAAATGAGAAGCTGTCTGGTTTATTTTTTCTTATATGAAATATATCTCTGAGCCCTTTCTTAGATCTCTTGAGAGAAATCCTCTTCCTGGGAATGGTTTTTGCGACAGCTGGTACAAAAGGCATCTGTGGCACAAAGTTCCTGTAATCAATCATCTGACTGCTGCATGCAGACTGGCTGGGGCTGACCACACACTCCTTCTTACTGCTGGAGCTGGACATCCCTGAAAAGCTGATGCTATTGACAAGTCGGCCCTTGCCCTTTCCAAACAAACCCTCCTCGCACGCCCTGCTGCTGGGGCTGCACTGCTCTGCTTTGTCTGCCTCAGCAACGCACTCATGGGTTTTACTCTTCCTTACGAGCTTGTAGGAGGAGCCAGATGATTTTTCCAGGTTGTGACCACCAGCTCCGCTCCTTGCTGCTCTGGTAGAACATCTGTAGTTCTTGTGTGTGGCCAGACATGCCAGCTGGACTTCAGCCACCCTTTGGTTTCCCTCCAGAGCTGCCTTTTTGTCTTTTCCCATCTCATCTTTGTTGGTAGGAGCTGTATGCACTGGTGGCACTTTCTCATGTTGTACACTGGATTTTATGAAGGTCTTTCCTCTCTTGAGCTCCATACTGCTTCCTCACATCTGTTTCTGTAAAGAAAACAGCAGAACACAACAATTGTGAGGTGCGTGGGTAGCACTTGTAAATTTTGAAAGCAACTGAAGAACAAAGGAAGGGACATTAAACATTACAAAATTCAGCTTCTCTGCCATCAGATATTTCCATCATTGAGTCATGGTACTGCATGAGAAACAGATTGAGTGAAACTAAAGGTGTGTTGGCTGGAAGATTCAACGTGGAGAAAACAGTGCACATTATGGGTTGGTAGCTGAGACTCAGAGAACATTTTGCCTGTTAGAAATAAGCAGATTTTCATTGAGGATTATGACTTCAGGATAGCTTTTAACAAGGTAAAGGTCTTGTTCTGAAGGTAGAAGAGGCATCAAGGAAAAGCAATGCCTGAGAAACTTCAACATGCAGATGTGTGTATCAGGAAGGCAGCAGTTCATAAATTTGTACCTTAGAGGAGGACAAAGATCTCAGGTTGGGAAATCTGGTAGAAAATGGATCAAACTTTTGATACACAATGCTCACTTTATATTAAAATAATCTTTATCTGTGAATGGAAAATCCATAAACCTTGGTACTACCTTGGAAGCATGCAGAAACTGAATTACTGATTTTGCTTCCCCCTGAGCATAAAGTATCATTTTCTACACTGCTACTTTTATTGTCAAAAACCAAAAATTCCACATTGAAAATCATTGTCAGTCATGACAAAAGTGTCTTCTTCAATTTACAAAGACCAGTGAAGCACACAGAGGCATTGCCACAGTGAGTCGCAGTGCACATTGATTAGCTATTTCTAAAAATACTCTAGTACCAGTATCAATGCCAGTTCCAGGCTCTGCCTGTATGGTTTAGTATTGAACCTTTTATGTTTTATGTTTTCATAAATCTAAATAGTCATTAATTATTTTAGCCATGTCACTTTCTGTCTTCTGGCAGTTCTTTCATAGAAAGAGCTGATCCTTTCCTGTCATGCATCAACTTGAATATTGGGTAAGTCAATGGACTTCCATGAAGGAAGGCCAGGGATGAAGCAATCACTACCTAAAAGCTGTTGGAGCAACCAGAATTTTACTTGGTGGGAAACAGCAAAATAACTCCAAGTCCTGTTCTTGAAAGAGTGTGCTTGGATCTCTCCTGAATGAAACCTCTTTTAATGATTTATCTTGTTTTGAATTGGTTAGACATAACTAAACAATTGGAGACACTGAACAGGAGATTTTAAATTCAGCACCAAGCCTAGGCTTTGTACTCCTAAAATAGACCTTAAAGCAATCTTCGGTCTATTTTGAACTATAACATCTGTCTGTAGCCTCCAGAAGCTTTCCAGTTGCCAGGCCTTGCTGGAACAGCCACACTCTGACCAGCAGCCCAGCAGATGCAGGACTGTGTATTTTGGAGCACTTCTCCAGGAGGCAGATCAGTGACAGCCACTTTCTTATAGAAGCTGTAAACTAACAGGTGATTAACAATATTTACAAATAAATGTAGGTCAGTGACAAATGGTAGAGAACAAAGGGGCAAAGTGTGGATATTTGACATGTGGTGGAAACATGGTGGGTGGTGATAAATGGGTGTCCATCACTGTGATTGAGATGTTGGCACCTTCAGTTGCACTTGGCACTACATGTGAGTGTTGCAGAACATTCTTAATGAAAGCCAGTAAACATTTTACTACCCTGTCAGGGATCTGGAGTTCACTGATGCTGCGGGAAACTTGTTTTGCATATTCAGAAATAGGTCACTGGGACACGATTACCCTCCTCTTCTGAAAAGCAAGGTGTGATCAACAATTCAGCATGCAGCTGAATTCAGCAGCAGCAGGGTTGTGAAAACAATCAGAAATAGCTGATGCAAGACCAGCTGTTAATAGCCCAGAAATAAAGTGTCTGACATCTCAGTCCTTTGGGAGTGAAGAATTAGGTGCTGTGTCCCTGTGGGAAGCTCCTGATGCTGCCGAGGAGCTCCTCACAGGTCTGTGACCCTGGAGAGTTCCAGCCTTACAACAATGATATGTAGGACCCTTGGAAGTCCTGCAGCTGTTTCTGCCCATTCTGAGTGTTAAAAAGGTCACTTTTGTAGGATATTGTATACTTGGGAACCTTTCTGCAGATGCATTAAAAAGGCTTTTAGGGATGGATTTATTTCCTGTCAGGTATGAAATGTATGAAAGCTAAGAATTTAGGATGACATTAGATAATCTTTGAAATAAAGCAATGTTTGATCTTAATTGTATCTCCTTGATAAGAAACACAATGGATGACCAGTTTTGATAACTGGGTCTAGAAACTTCAAGGATTGTTCTTCTTTTTTTTTTTTTAATAGACTAGATGAACAGTTTTATCTTGAAAGCCAAAATGGCCAAAGTAACATTTTACTGAGAATATCTGTAGTATAATAAGTTCCATACACACAGTGTAAGATACACTGAGGGTAGCTGATGCTGCCTTTTCAGTTTCTTCTGATGAGGATAAGAATGTTAGCTGTTGTTTCAGTTTGGTGGGGATTTTGTGGTTTGGTTTGTTGGGTTTTTTAATATCTTATATATATATATATATATATATATATATATATATATAATCACCAACTTTGTATTTTAATTATTTAATGTTATTATTTATTCCCATATATTCTATTTCTAACACTCCCTCAGGATTCATGTTAGTATCTAGCTCATTGTGTCATCCTGCTTATTATAAGACTGTCATATCTTTGTAAAACTTCCCCATTAAAATTGTTATTTAAAATGAATAAAAGAAAGGGAGGACCTCAGTTAACTCTTTGAGGGCTCCTCAGCAGAGACTACCAGAGTCTGCAGATTTTTTAAAACATTCATTTTAGATGCTGTTTTGCAACTTCCCATACTCTGAGTTCCTCTTCATACTCATGTGATGCAAACTATCAATGAACTTCTTTCCAAAAATAGACCAGAGCTATTTATGTGATGATTCTCTCTTTCTATATCTATTAATACTTTTAGCCCATTTCGTTGTAATGGATTATGCCATGATACTTTTATTTTTGGTCTCTGCAGGGACACAAGTTCTATCTCTAACCCCAGAAGCTGTACCAGGGAATTTACAAACCAATTAAAGTGATGTAAGGGAAAGTTACCCCCCAGTGGTTATGTAAAGCTAAATCAAAATTCTATGAAAAATTATTACAGGCATTTAAAACATAGCACATTTTTCTGGGATTTCTTGACCCATGCACTCAGCCACACTGGTGCCTGTCTCTGTTCCTTTCTAATTATTCTTCTCTTGGATTTGCAGGCTATCACTTCTTCCAAAGGGATAAAAGATATATGAGGGCTGAATTCCCATCTTTGCAAAGGAAATAAAATTTGCAATTAAAAGTCACTGTAAAGAACAGAAAACCGTGGAAACTAGCAGTCAGTGCAATGAGAGTCTTAATGTTTTCTTCATTAATAACAAAAAAGTTTTTTTACTATCTGCAAAATTGCTTATGGAATGTAGTATGTAATGAATTTATCCTCAAATCTTACACTGGGCTACAGTTTAGCTGTTTTTTACAATAAGATTTGGTGTAGCAGCAGCACTGAGGCTTCCCATCCACAGTAAACAACATTTTTATCTGCCTTGATCAGACCAGCTGCTCACTTTCAGGATTTCACAGGTATCTAAGCAGGCAATTAGATCCAGATTTGAGGCTGATACTATAATGGAAATAAGGTTTTCTTTTAAAATTGGATCATATTGCTCATAAAATGCAGAGACACTTCATGCTCAAACATATGCCATCTGTGCAGGGTGTGTCACAGCCTTTTCATAAAACCAGGAGGTTTTACGGCATCTGTGATTCATCTAAAAGTAAATTAAAGTTTTAGAATGGAAAGATGAGCACATTCCTGTGGGCTGAGGAGACTTGATTTTAGGACAGTCAAAGCAATTGCTTCTGGATCTGGGTTATGAGGACCTGAGCAAGACTGAGTTAGGTAACTGTCCTGGTTAATAAGAGTTAATAATATTCAGATGGCCCAAATCCTCCCTAAGTCCAGGCCAACATACAAGGGCCAAAGAGGGGTGCAATGGAGCCAGATATCCATTAGGAAAATGGGGGGAGGCAGGATTCAAAGTGTCCAGATACCATCTCTGTCATGTGAGTCAAAGAGAGGGGTCACATTTCCCTCTGCCCCTGGCTCCAACACTTTCTTCCAGCCATCTCCAAGTTTCCCTCTGTGCTGGAATGTGAGAGAGCCTTGCTTTGGGTTTTTGGCTGAGTCAAAGTTGCTGTTGCTTATAACACAGCAGAAAGGTTTGTTTAGGTTGTCTTCAAGGAAAAGGTAAAACATCAGTCCTCTTGCATGTAATTCTAGGAATAGCCCCCTAATGGGAAAGTAGAAGTATCTGGTTCAGCAAGGTTGCATGGACAGAAATAATGCTGTTACAAGGAGGAAATTAAGATAAAGTCTCCAGCTTCAGCAAGTTTGGCTCAAAAATAATTTTGCTCAAGTAATTGAGGTTCATTTATTTCAAAATCTTCTCAGCTATCCAGCTTGGACCTCTCTTACTAGCTTGTTTGATGTGTAATTTATAAATAATTTACTCTCTTGGAGACAGAAATACATAAAATTCATAATATAGTGGTTTAGAAGGGGAGATAGGAGTATTCTTTCTTTACATTTATATCACTCCTACAATTGGCAGGTTGTGGAGATGGTGCTAAGCAGAGTTCTGCATGCCACTTGGCACCTGAATTTCACCTCCCTCCAAGCATTTTCCTGATATTAAATGAAAAATTTGATCAACATTGAAGAGGCTTTTTAATTCAAAAATAAGGAAAAACCTCTCTTTGTACTGCTTGTATGTTTTCAGACACAAGTCTGGAGTGAGTCCAAAATCCCTTTTCCACAAGTGGCTTCATATCAATCAGACTTAAGATGCTGAGTATCAGAGGTACCTTTGTAAATGTTACCCTGCTTTTCCATCAGAAATTGTAGCATAATTAAACTTCCTGAAAGCATCTCTCTGGTTTGAGTAATCTCT